AAAACACGGCATCCATTTTTAGTATGAACAAAGTATATTTATTTGGGGTCCTGATGTAATAAAGTGCATGTATGCTCTAACAATCTTTATTAAGAATAATTGGTGATATAGATTTATGTAATTGCTAGATAATTCTTTGTCAGTCTCTACATAAATTGTAGTGGTGAAAGATATATTTATGGATAGTTATTGTTGAGAATTAAAAATTTTAATTTTATTCCACCGACAACTATCAATAAATAGAAAGAAATAAAGATATATAAAATTTATAGAGTTTCGCCAGAATTTGAGACTACGTCTTCTCCGCCTAACCTTTCTTTCACTCTTTTATGATGGGTATCAAATGCTTAACGACGGCTCCCTATTTATAAGATAACTCAGAAAAAAATCAAAATTTACAAAGAATCAAAGTGGCAACAATTAGACTCCACAACTTAACATGTCATGTTGTAATATTTAGATTTTAATTAATAGTTTTGAGCTAACTTGGAATAAATTAGTGGCTGTGATGAATTAGAAATAATATTGTATAACATTTTATTGGCCAAAAGTTAAATATTTTTTAGCCTTTTTTCTTATTTTAAACGAAAATTGACACAAATGACAACAAATCGGACATTTACAATTTTTATCCTTTTGTATGCTTTTAGTCTATTGTCACTTTTTCAGGGCTCCTTAATTAATATACGAGTATGAACCTTCCCAATTGACATCACAAGATATTTAAATATGATGCTAACACAAATATCTTACAGTCGTGTATTCAGTGGTCAACTTTAATAAGAGGATGAAAAATGAAGTAAGACTAAGCATAATGTTTTGGCAACAATATAAACACGGTGAAATTCATCTCCTTCAACCAATTAGCCCCTGTTTGCAACCATTATTTGAAAATTATTTATTTTATATATTCATTTTCAACCACACATTCACACAATAAAATAATTTGCACTTAAATATAAAAAATTTTCTTATTTTTTGACCACACATTTTCTTAAAAATCAGCGTTCAAAACATTTTGAGTTACTTTCTTATATGTTGACTGTAGACACATCATTCGAGAAAGATAGAGAACCCATTTTTCATTTTTTTATTCAATATGCAAAATATTATGTTGAATAATATTTAAAAAGTAAATGTAGCATAATTCAATAATTCTTTTTTTTTTTTAAATAGGAAAGTAGGTCTTTTGTCATAACACGCTTCTTCTCAAAATTACCAAACTCATTCCAAAATTTTCGCACCATTCTTCTTCTCAAAGTTCTGGCTATTCATTTACAACAAATTGATAATCATCCAAACACCCGGCTTAACATTCACACATTGATGAATTCCTCTATAGATTCACCCAAATTGTAATAAAGTTTTTGGATCTAGATGCTACATTGGCTATTCTCTTATTCATCGATTAGAAAATTATGCCTTTCGGGTTGTG